AATTGAAATTATCCCGTATATTATCCATATAATAAATATACTATCTTTGGCATTTAACCAGAAACTTCGTTTAGTTTAAATTTCGTTTTATGAAATGATAGAGGAGGTAACGTTTAGATATTACGATATTACTAGGGTTAGATCTATTTGATAAGGCCAACTTCAAGTTTGGTCAAAGGTCACGAGATGTAAACAGGGCTAGTGCTAATCCCAACCCTAACACTAACCCTGGATACTGTAACACTATCTTAGTGATAACAGATATCAGTTTAGTACATATAGTGTTTATTTACATCGGAACAGAATATACATATCTACACACAAAACAATATACATGAACTTAAACTAACATACAGGAACTAGACTACGACAGCGGCTGAATTGGGGTGAGTCCATACGCCGGTCTCTCCGTCTCTCTGCTCGTCTCTCCTCCTCTCCGCTCGTCTGTCTTACTGTCAGCAAACTCCTCGTTATATACCCTCGGACAATAGATAAGACTCATGTTCATTCTTGCAATTGTCTCTTTTATCTCGTCATGGTATGCTTACTGACCAGTACATATTCTTTTGAAGTCATGTTGAGCTTGTACACAGACCATATGTAGTTTGTAAATGACATATGGAATTAATTACATGTTTAATTAGATCATAGCCAGTTCGTGCATTAACAGAAGTTTATGCAGAGTTGAAACGTCAATATCATATATTATCAAAAACGAGCAGAGGTCATAAAGTTCTAAGCACCTAAATGATTGATGATTGATGAAAGTTATAGAGTACTTTGTCACAATCTAGCCCTAGCACTTACCTTAAACTTAACCTACAATCTCGCCAACAATCTTTTGCCCTAACCTTATTTACATCTCAGCGACCATGACGAAAATTGAGTTGGCCTTAACAAATAGATCTAACCCTGTTGACCTACATGCACGAGCGCCCCCTGATCATTTCATCCAGTATCTATGCAGTTTGTCTTGTCATCAGTATTTTCTTTGTTTTGCGTGTAAGCGTGATCCTGCTGCACTAACTATTAGAATTGTAAAAAATCGAAAATGTAACATCAAAAATCGAAGTTGATCGCACTTGAATTGTCTAACCCTTGTGCTTTTATTGAAGAGCGTCGCCTTCAAGTAGAACAACAAGATGGAAGCGCTTGGGAACTAATTCCAGCTTCAGTTGAATCCACAATGGTTCGCATTGAAAATCGAAAATTACGCCGAACATCTCCCCACTTGGTTGCGTTTATGTACATGAATGATACAATGTAGGAGAATATTACCGGTGTAGACTGGTATAACCAGACGTCAATTCAGACTCTTCGGGTATTTCGTAGAACATAACTGATTAGAAATTACAGTAAAAACAGTAACGATTGAATGTAAATCAGTTTATATACATTCATGTTACATTATTATACATGCGTTGCTACCCATTTGTGTCCATTTCTAGGTGCCAAAGAATAGAGGAACATTAAGACACATCAGATCAGGGATAGGCAACCCTGTGACGCATCCCTGTGATAATGTAATTGAATAGGGTGTAACGTCTCTCCAACATGTGTTAGTAATCTTGGGACTAACCTGTAGTATCTTTACTCATATTGTCACGTGTGCCTGCCAAGAGTGTTCTAAGGCATGTTTTCCTCCCCCCATCCCCACGCCCCCGCCCCCAAGGCCCAAGTCACCGGCTGCAGGCCGGGCTGGATACCTCCCGAATAAGAAATGAGAAAATTGTTATTAATACAAATATTAAGAACTATTGTTAATTTCCTGGCATTGTGATACACTGACCTCATTCTATAAGCTTAATTATACGACAGACAACTTAAGATCGTCAACAACAGTATCATTTCCGTCATTAAACTATCATGAAGCTTTTAAGTTCTGCGGGGACTAGATTTGTTTTATTACTCTTACTACCAAATTTAGACAAACGTCTTCCATTTGTTAAAATATACGTTGCCAGGAAACAAAGCATACGCCTAAAGCAGCTTAGTCTACTAAAAGCAGCCAAGTTCATTTTGGCTTTTAAGTTAGACTGAACAAATCATTCAGCTTTGTTTATCAATCTATTTTTGTGAAATTCATAGAAATTATGTCAGTGCCTACACTGTTGAATCCCAAATGCCTGACGTTGTTTTCTACATGAATAAATAACCTACTACCGATTAAAACGCAATAATTAATACGCAGTGGAGATGGAGTGGGGGTGGGGTAGGGGCTTTAGCCTCGAAGTGAGTCTTCTAGACTTTCAGAAGAAACCCCTGCTATGCTCTATATATACTGATCCCTTGGTTGAGAGACTCCCAGTTGCGAGGGTCACAAAAAGTTAACTGAACAGTCGATCTTTATTCCAACCCCATCTCACTTCCGTTGTATCTATGACAGATTAGATAATAGAGTTTTTCGCACACTCTTTCCCTGTGTCCTTTTTCCATCAAATAATTCACTGCTATCAGTTATGACAGTTGAAACTAGCGGTTGCCATGCAGGAAATGTATGGGGATTAGGTAAAACAAGCGGCTGCCATACAAGATACGCCCATATTTTGCAGGAAATGTATGGGGAAGAGGCAAAATCAATAGGCCTCATTCAAGATCTTTTCATCCTTAAGATATTTGTTGAGTTACCTCAGAATGGGACAATTGTAGCTCCTCTGGGGAGCCTACAAAATTCATACATATTTCACATTTTGCATAAAAAGCAGGGGCTATGGCTCAGGAACGTAAGATCTGATGATTACCAAATACGAACTCATACAAGAACTTTTGATCCTTAACACATAGTTTAAGTTTCATCTTATGAATTGGACAAACATTTCTTTCATATTTCATATTTTGCGTAAAAGGCAGGGTGCCAATGTGTTCCAAAATTGAACTCATCCAAGTACTAGTGATGCGCGTTTTAATTTTTACATAAATCGGATAAAAATTGTGACATCTAGATGGTCCACAACCTGAGCTGAAAACGTGATATTTCGTACAATCAGGGGTCATTATCCAGAAAGTCACGGTCCAATACGCGCCAATATCGAAATTTGCACTCTCAACCGTATTATGGTATGTAACGTTTCACAAGCTAAAAATGTATATATAGGAAGTGACTGTCCTATATGCACCAATATCGAAAGAAACCGAGATCTCCAGGTTATAAACATACATTGTCAGTTTGATCAGGGTGACCCCCCCCCCCCCCCAAAAAAAAAAAAAAAAAAAAAAAAAAAAAAACAACAAACAAACAAAAAACAAAAACAGAACCCATAAATTTTTATTAAGTCCTACAAAGGTCCAGCGAATTTCAAGCAACTTGCTGGACGTAAACATCAGTCTGTGTACGATCTTTCCCCAAAGTTGGCCATGATCGCTATGCATAAAGGTCATGTTCTTTCCAAAGCATTTCTGACGATCTAGACCCAAAGGAGCTTCCGGGGCCTAGGTAGCCTCTGGACCCCCCCCCCCTTCCTCCCTCAAACAAGAATTGCTTCTGCCGGCCCTGACATTGGTGTCACGCTTCGGTCAGCAGTCATCATCATATATTTGTAAATTTATATACATAAGAAGGCAAGAAAATGTTACAAACAATACTGCTGCCAATGCGCGCCTAACTTCAAATATGTATAATGGGGATGAGATGTAATAAAAGTCTTACCACGCTTTTCACGGTAGTATAATTCTTGCTGAAATCTTCAATGAAATGGCACCACAATGTCAAATTATTTAAATGAATTTAACGCATCAAACTTTATTATGTGACAGTCGTGGAAACATGATTTAAGCAATACGAACAAGATACATGATCGGAAAAAAATATCCTTGACCATCTCGGTGGTAGTCACCTTACATACACTATTACGACACTATATCAAAGCTGATGCTGAAAGAAAAATGAGGCCAGCTACGATTGGCGGCATTGTCTTTGTTTCAATCTCAACCTCTATACTTTTAAAATCGTCTTTACAGGCCTGCTGCAACATAGGTCACTTAAAAAATTAACTAGAGCTAAATTTCAATGTTACGTTTTCTACTTCTAAATGTTACATCCCACTTTGTAAATGTTGCCAACATAATTTATGTTTTTTGATACTAAATTCGCCTTTTCTAATACTAATTATGAATTCTAGTACTAAAACTAAAAATTTAGTTTATGTTCTTGTAGGTAACCAATGCAATTTTCTTTTTTTACATAGGCGGTATTCGTACTCAGGCAACAAAGTATACAAATAAATCTTATTTTTAAAGTTTCTAAACATTTAAAAACTTGTGCCAAAACTCTCAGTCCTTTGTATATCTTAGGATAACATAAAACACATGAGGTACATTTTCACACATTTAAAATGTTACTTCCTTATATCAGATTACGATATGGATTTAGGTAAGTAGAAAATATGAATTCGGGGACACGAGGAAAAAGTAATTAAAACGTCTTTAAGGTCTTACTCTGTATGAGTAACTCGCAGGCGAATTATTGAAATAGATTAAACCATATGTTAGTCCCAAAATGACCTAGTTTATGTCGTCGAGTGGACGCTAATTCCCCCCCCCTCTCTCTCTCTCTCTCTCTCTGGCTGGGAATGGAAATTCGAGACTACGGGGTTCGTCTATTTATAGCAATTCCCTCAGTGGTTAAACCATTTCTATCCTTTTACATGCCCATTTTTGTTGATTTGTTTGGTTTGGGATAATATTCATGATTTAGAGGCGGAAGTATATCAGAGTTAACAGGTTGGTTACGGTATGTATGGCGAATAGTTACATGTTTTTAGTATCATACTTCATGGTTGTGTATCTTAAAATTTTGGAGGTCAACCTCATACAAACTTTGGTGCAAAGATATTTTTGTCTGTAGTGAAAAGCATTCAGCTCAACGAAAAGTTTGGTAAATTTGGAACCGGGCAAAGAGACCAGAATTAACATTGAAGTCAATGGGGAAAATTATTGGTGGTCTGCCTCCCTATACATTATACTGACTTATTTTTCCTTGGTAATAGGTGGCGTACCGGTTGTAGTCACGTGATAAAAATATAAAAACAACCGCGGGACGTGGAAATTACATGTTACTGTTTACAAAATTTACAATGGCACAGTTTTGTTTTCCCATGCTTCGAATTGAAGAAATTGCATGTTTCTTTCATGAGATCAATGTTGACATTTCTGACAGCGACTTTAGAAAGCCCGACCCCTTCAAATGGAGGCAGATTTATGGAATAATATTAGAGTTATTGACAAATATTCCTCCTGATCAAGTTTACCAAAACAGTCAACAAATAATTTTGGTAAAATCAAATGATGTTTACGAATATCCAGAGCTCCACAATGAATCGTTGCCCCTTATGACTGTAACACTTTCCCTAAAAAGAGTGATGAGCACTTGTGGAATTAAAGATTTCACAGTTCAAGACATCATCGAGCCAACCTTGAAACGTCTAATTAAGATTTGCAGCGCAGCTATCAATTTATACAAGTTTAGGACAAGTAGAATAACAATTTTCCATCAACTCAAAGAGGAAAATGAAAAGTTTCGTGACCTCTATGATGACGTAAGACAGAAAATTAATAAACATAAAGCCATTAGAGCTGAAGAAGAACCAGAAATTGCCCAACTTCAACATGATATTGAAGTGTTTACCACCGAAATGACAGGCCATCATAAACAACAATCAGTTTACCAAAAAAATATCCAAGAAATAAAAACTGAATTGTCAGGTAAAAGAGCAGCCAAGGACAAACTGAAAGTTGATATCATCAATAAGGAGAAGCAAATTGATATTATTTCTCAGAAAATTGTCCAGTCACCGGAGAAAGCCAAGAATGAGCTAGCCAGAAATCAAGAAAGAGTGACAACCCTTAATGAAGATATAGCTGAATCTAGAGACAAACGTACGGAATGGGCAAGACAAGCAGAAAAATTCAAGCAGCGAGAGGCTATGGCTGATAAACTATTGAAAGTTTTACAATCAATCAAACAAGAAAAAGATCAAGAAAGTGCTTTAAGCAAGGATATCCTCCAAAATACAGAAGTTTACCAAGAGATTCAGAGTGTATTAGAAGAATTAGCAACTAAGAGATATCAGCTTGAAGCCAGATTAACATCCAAACAAGAAGCTGGTTCCAAGTTTGATCTTCAGTTTAAAGCTAAGAAAAGGGCTTCCCATGAACAGCTTGAGCAAGTCATTAATCAGAAGATGATGTACAAGAAGAAAAATAATTTGGAAGCAGAACAAACAGAGGGTACACTGAAGCAAAAACAGAAAGTATTAGAAGAATTAAGGAACAAGGAACAGCAGATTGAAGAGAGAGTTGAAAATATTGCTTCCCTGTACATTGAACTGGTTCAGAAATTTGAAGAATCACATGAACAATTTAAAGGCAAATGGGCACATTTTCTCCAGAGTTTGTTAGATTAGTGTATTTAATAGTGCTACTACATGTACTTGCTTGAATATTGGATACTTTAAGTCTACTTATAAAGCTTATTTGCATAAATTCTTAGGAATTGCTTATTTATTGAAACATTAGAAGAAATGTGATGACTTACATCTGAACAGAACCCTAGTGTTAAGTTGTTTGTTTCAGGGAATGCTACAGTACAAATTATAGGTGCATTATTGCACTTGGGAATAAAGAGAAAACAGAGACTTCATAGAAAGTCACCAGGAACATGTATATAGCAAAATTCATATCGTAATTCCAACTCTGTAATAATGCTTGTGCTAATTTGTTTTCTTTAATCCGTGCAACTTCTTACGTACATGCTATTTACAAATGTAAAAAAAAATGTTTATTTATATGACTTATTTCTTAAATATTGTTGTTTTTATTTCTATTATTACTTTTAATTTTCACCTCATTATATTAATCCGACAAGAACAGCTGTCTAGTCGTTTGGATGGGACAAAAAACTGAGGTCACGCATGCACTTGACAGTTGCAATTCGATATAAAAGTATCCAAATACTCATAGCACACTGTATGGTGTATGCCCATCTTCATTAGCTCAGTCGGAGCAGAACAGTAGGACATTAAACCCCATTTCATTTCATTATGGTAACAAATGGCACCATTTAAAAATTTATTTTACAAAACTGTTCCTGAATTATGTTGTGGCATATCAAATCTCACCCTTTTCTTCGTAACCTAACACAATGTTTCAAGGCGAAAACATGATAAAGTAATCTTGTATCACTGCAATGTACCGTGAGTTACTGACTTTTTGCCTTCAAAAGACACAAAAATATGTAATGTGACCCAGTACATGTAGATGGAAACTTAATAAAAAATAAACGAATTCTATTGATGATGGTGAACAGAGATTTAGGTACAATATTGATTTAGCATATTTTTTCCCGCAATATAATGAAGTTTTGATATTATTCAAGTTATCTAATATACAGATAGATAATGTGCCCCAAAACTTCCAAAGTTTTTTTAGTGATCCAAGATCGAAAGACCATTTCCAGTGACTCTAAATGAAATGATTAATAGCTTGATAATATTAAAAATTGTTTAGCTAGTGGTAGGAGAACTCTTTGGACATTATGTGCAGAGAATGATTTCCACTCTTATCGGCCTTGTATTATTATTCCTTAGCATTTAACATCCACCTCCAGAGAAGTGATGTCGCAGACGAAATGCATGTTTACTTCAACCCTGCACTAAAATTACTACTTTCTGTTCTTTCTAAACAGCCAATTCAAACCAGTGGACTAGTCTCTCGGGAATTTTGGCCAGACTGTCGAACATAGGGTAGGGTGTGCTAGCTCTTTCCAGGTCACCTGATAGTGATACATGTATCACTTCAAGGTATTAAGGGGCATTATCCAACAGATGATCCCTGAGGTGTTTTCTGTTATATATTTTATATTTATTCACATAAGCCCATAGTCAACTCTCTAAATCATCAGTTGGTCAAGATATTGAGTGGTTTAGACAATGCCTGTCATGTGTAGGGTGACCCACCATAAATAAATATCTCCATATATCTCGACAATTTCGCCACAATATTTATATATATGCCAAGCCTCAAATCAGTTTCACACAATTATAGTCACTAAATAAACGATCATGTTGTACTTAATAAGCTATGACCATTAATCATGTATAAATAATAGACTGAAAACTGGTTCCATGTCTCGTCCATAACATCCAGACACTTTTGAGTAAAAGATAGGTTACGTGCCCTTGTTTTGAAATTAGTCTCGCTTAACCAGTCTATCGACCATTCTAGGACTGATTGACAGGTCGGGATAATCAAGACTACTTTTTTACGAAACATAACAGAAAGCTAGAACAAGAAATTGAATTTAGAAATGAGCACGTTAGCTAGCTCAACAATTGTTTTAAGAAGCTTGTAAAAGTAAAATGAAACTACTGATAGTATCATATTCCTGTCTAAACCGAGTGTTTCAGAGATATTATTTGTACTAAACCAAAAGATGCCGCTCTTAACGGTACAGTTAATGATAAACCGATTTAAAAAATGAAACGAACGTAATTTCTAAATCTGCTGTAATAACCAAGAAGCTTAATTTTACTGCTATTCAAAATCGTCAACAATAATTTTTTTACGGCTGTAATAGTTGATAGATTTGTAGAGAATTGCACGTGCCATGGCTATTTATAGTATCATACTGTCAGAAAGTTGGTAGTCTCGAACTATCAGCGGTTGACTGTATTTCTGTAGGTGCGTGGATCACCCTATCATGTGCGTTTATGATCATGGTTGTGCTGTGGTAGGCTATGAATATGAATTGTGGACAAAGTTTCCATCTGCCAATTATGGCTATTTCTTGTTTAAACTTCACACGGAGTAAGTAATTGTCAATACAATATCTATACATGTATTTGTAGCAAAAATAGCTGGCTTTCTCTAAATCTTGAATATTGCTAAATAACTTTTTTTTTGGCACTGATGTATTTCTAGATTACTGGGGTGGCCAAATGGTTAACTGGTGTGCATTATCTATATTTTAACTAATGTAGCAAAAATGGCAGGCTTTCTCTTAATCTTGAATATTGCTAAATAACTTTTCTTCCACTGTTATATTTCTAGATTACTTGGATGGCCAAATGGTTAACAGGTGCGCATTGATCACTAGGTCTGTCATTGAGTCTTAGTCGCATGGTTTCATTCCCCATTTTTATGTGACAAGGAGTAGGGTGCCTGTCCAACCTTGTGTTGCTCCCAGTGCGGATGATCCTTATGCGCAAGCAAATTATTGTAATAAAATTGAACCATGTGTTAATCCCAAAATGACCTGGTTTGTGTCATATGGACGTTAAACCCCATTTCTCTCTCTTGAATAATATTAATATCAAGAATACTTGTTGCTGAATAATTAACTTTTAGATATAACTTGTTATATTTACCCAGAAAAATTTAGTGAAAAAAAACCCCGGGAAAGTTGTGGTTAAAGTGACACAATTGGTATGTTTTTTATTGGCCCACATTAATATGTGTTTGGATATTGTCATCACCCTCCTGTAATTGTCATTTACAATTGCTTGTGGTTGCTGTAGATGTTGAAGTTATCTACAAATTGACTTGAAATCGGCAAGTTCGTTTTGCCCAAGTAACAGACCTTAAACCAGTAAACTAAGTAAAGTTTGTATAAACAAGCCCAGATAGGCTACTCAAAAAACCAGGAATATTTTTTTTTATCAAGATTTTTATTACATGAGAGTGAGAGAACTTATTTACTTGCTAGTTCCTTAAGTACAGGTATATAGAATTACAATACTCAATTAAACAACTTTTCTATTTCAAAGTCAAAGTTTTTAAAATTTATTCTCGAGGTAGTTGGTAAATTATATGTAGCCTCACGCAATAAAATTGATAAAAATATCTGGGCTTGTTTATACAGACTTCAATTTACAATAGGCCTAAACTGCATTGCTTGTGTTATTAAGTACATGTAGTTAGAATAAATTTGATATGTTCTAGTAAATCAGGGCGTACATTTGTAACAAAGCCTTGTACCCCCTGAACCTAGTCTTCACCGTACAGAGGTTCTGGGTCAGCTGTCCACATTTAACGAAATTTTACTGGACAGATATTCTCAAACCCATCCAGACTAATATTCAGGGGGAAATATTGCACGGACAGTTGTGTTTACACCCATGTTCAAAGCTGCCCAGTTTCTCTTCACACCAAAACAATTAGACCCTGTTCTTCAGATAGTTGATGAACAAAGACCACAAAATGAATAAAACCACATTTTAAGTGGTTAAAGAAAACACAAGAAATGATTTTTTTGTTATTTTTTCTTTTTTCTTTTTTACATCCAGGTCATGTTTAGAATCTTAGCTTCCTGAAGAACCATCTGTTTCGGCCATTCTTGTATCTGTAATAAAGATGAAAAGATGGAGTTATCTTCCCATTCAAAACAGATTTTACACCTTAAATCATAAGTTGGTGGCTACAATTGTACTGCACGACAATTATATGTACATGTATCACTTCTCTGATGAAACAATGGGGATGGAAATAAATGATCAACTTTGTGCCTACATGTGGATCATTTGAGGCTGAAATACATATTTTCATCAACTACAAAAAGTCAGGGCAAAAAAGAGAAAAATTTGTCAATGGATGCAAATAATTGATGTAATTGTAATGGCAATATGTATATACATGTAGCACTAGATTATTTGTCACATAACTATCTCAGTTCCTTGCCACAACTGCAAATCCCACAGAAAATATTCTATTTCCAGGGACATAAACAAATAGCTGCTGTCATTTCTGAAAACAGCCAGCAATTGGTATATCAGTGGCTTGAATTTTCATGTTGTAATGCACGAAGGGAAATAACTCTTTAATAGATTGTTTCATTTTTAAAAAATGGAACTCACTTCAAGCATTCGAAGGAGCATCGCATTTAATAGCTATACAAAGATTGGTATGCCAATACACAGCCATGTTCCGGAAGCAATTACGACCCCAAGTTTTACAACATCTAGCCGTGACTTCAATACTCAACAATTCCCGAACTTTTGCGCTCTTGTTTACACAAGACTAATTAGCATTGTCTAATCAGAGGTAATGGCACATAACACACTGTAAACAAATATGGCGGCCTCCATAGAAAAAGAAATAGAGAAGTTTACAGCCTTTGTTGATCAGCCATGATTTCCAGCAACCATGACATTGATCGAACCTTTAACTTTGCAACTCGATTGTCACATGTAGACATTTTAGCTAGAAGCGCGAGACTTGATAATCGTAACAATATTTTTAACGAAGGAATCTGATAGGATCACAAGCTGGGCTTATACCCAATCGAAATTAGTGCTAAAATATGCAGGGTATTACGTGAAGGGCTTGATAAGATGTACGTAGTTAAGGCGAGATCAAGCCTTCTATTGAAGATGATACACAGCAAAAGTATATTTCAATGGAAACCTTGGATGTGACCAGTATTAATCTCACTTTACAATCACAACTCACAAATAAACCCATTAATTATTTATAACACCTATCTCCTGTTGTATAATCCCCACACCAAATTTCAGCCACAGCAAGATTAATATAGCATGGGTTAATCCCGACCAACATTAACAATCATAGCATGGATTAATTATTATCAATCGACTGTTTTACAAATTACATGAACCTTTTAGATACTCAGTGAATAATACCTCGAATAAACTGACTTACCGATCTTGTAATTTTGTTTTGACTTCTTTTCTGGCTTTAGCTTTTAATGCAGGGTCCTTTGCAGCATCTCTGTTAACTACATTTTTATCTAAACCAATATCCAGAGAATATCTAAAAAGAGAAATATTACATTAATAAAACCTAAAGC